TAAGTGGTTAGGTGATCGCGTTGCCGCTATCTAGTCTCATCAGGAGACTAAGTGATCTCGAAGTAGGTGCGCAGTATCGAACTGTGTGCGGATCCAAATTAAGAGGAACGGACGAGATGTAGGTAACAATTGACGCTATGACTAGCCGCTATCGCAAATTACGACTGTATCGTTGAGATCGAGCTAATCGTGAGCCTCTTAGATCTGTGAACCGAATCTCTTACCTTATAGCTTTGGAGGAACCGCAAAGATTTAGAGATCGGAAAATTTAATGCGAAAGAAGTTGAATCTTGCATTTTATGATAAAGATGTGACAACATAATAGATATCAAACGACTATCTATCCATATTCTGAGCTAAAAATCACAAAAGTCATATTATACCTGATACACCGTTACTCAAGATATGATTTACTTTGTTGTTAGATATGACTTACTTTAAAATATTGTTTTAAGCTTATCTAATGATTTTTTAAAATTATACGAATGCAATTTAAAAAAAACATTAGATAAGCTTAAAACACAATATTTTAAAGTAAGTCATATCTAACAACTGTATCTTGAGTGTAATCTTATGTGTATATCTTTTACCATTCCTGTAATATATTGAGAGAGAGAGAGAGAGAGAGAGAGACAGAGGGAAAAAAAATTCCAAAGCAATGAAAGTGACGTGAGTTAGGTCTGTATCGTTCCATTTTGAATCCATTGTGATAAGACGCGACATCGAAATTTAATTAAACGTGCTTCGTGACTGACAGAGCTTAGTGGCTTTTAGCCATGTTGTTTACGAGCTCGAACCGTTATATAGCTTTCCACGCGACCGAACTCGAGAAAATGAAGCTAAACCCGCATTAAGAAAATATACGGCGAAGATTAATGATTCCAAGCGATTTGCTAACAATGCAGTTCTCTTTAAAAGCAACTATGCGATTCACACCAGATGTAATGAGTGGATACAACAAATGTTGTATGTACAAATACTGTTGTTAAAAGACGTACCGTGATTATTGCTTCTTAAACTTGAAAATATGTATACAAGTACTGTGTATTAATTAATCAAGTCTCGCTATGTATACGCTTATAATTATGAATTGCGAATCGGTGAGATCTAAAGGAATTTCCAGAAGATTGTTAGGGTCGTCATAAAATAATATTGTCTAACCAAATGCCAAAGACTTCCAAAGGGAATCTGGACAAACTATTTTCCGAACCATCCACGCGGTCGCCTTATTTATTTATGCTACTCTCGTGACCTCAGTAGATGTTATTACAAGGACCTTCCTACGATACGCGACGACGATTACATAAACGTTGGCAGGGCCCGGATAATGTCGGCTTTGTCAACAGGTTTCGACGTTTTTTTCATGCTTCCTTGTCCAAATCTGTGTGGGTGACGAAAAAGGAACCGCTAAGTGGACAATAAAATTGTACATAACTTGATAGCGATTATTAATGGTAAATTAATTATCGCAAACAAAAAATACGCAAAAAAGTTGGAATGCTCGTAAAATATATTTTCAGCCATATTGCAATATTTACTGTTAATTTATATGTTTGTCAAATTATATCCTATTTGAATTACTTTTAATCATTTTCATATATTTATTATTTCACCATTGCTTCTATTTAATATATCATTAATTTGACTAAAATAATGGAGTTAAAAGGTTTAACTAAACAAAATATTTTAACCATAAAAAATTACATTTGATGTAAATTTAGTTTATTATTTATCAAATACATATATAAATTATGAACGAGGTTTACTTTCAAACTAAATTAGAGAAATGGATTGATTTACATTTTAAGTATTATCAGAGTTAATGAAAGTTAAAAATAACATAATATTATTTAACTCAATGATTACTCGCCATTACTCCCTTGGTATCTAATATCGTTAAAGAAACAAAATATACTGTTAGATATCAAAGAAATAATGATAACTTAATCCCTCACATTAACATTTTTAAACTTCGTTTATATCAAAATATAAATCAGTCCATTGCTATAGTTAGTTTTAAAGTAAACGACATCGACATTAATATACTCTTAGTAAATAATAAATTAAATTTAAGTAAATTTAATATATTTTCTTGAGTTATAAATTGTTTAACTCCTTGTTTTAGTTAAATTAACGACATTAAGGAAGAGCAGTGGTGATCCAGAAATCAAATTAAAAATAAAATTGGATACTACTTGAACTTAACCACTTGTTACAAATTATTCTTTACATGAAGATGTAATAATGTAAGCATCTCATACGTTAGCGTGCTAATTACAAATATAAATTCTTCTTCGCAAGATACATAACTGCCTCTTTCATGCAGTAAAACGATCGTTCTTAAAGTAGGTATTGTTCGACACGAGAATGGCTTTATCAGATATATTACACGCAAGAAGAACTATTGATCAATCGATCGAAGTAGATGCAATAATGACACGTTGTTCTTTATGTTACTATAGCTGCATACGAGTCGCTGTATCACGATTTGCAATATGTACGTCATGTACTCCGTTGTCTTATTTCTTTAGCAAACACCGACACCCATCGCGTGTGGCCGAAAGCATTTCTTTCGTTCGCAAAATTCGGGTCCCGTAAAAAAACCTTCGCGGTCCTTCGAGAGATTCTCAAGAAGTACTCGAGAAAGACGCGCTTGAAAATCGTACATACGTGACGTACTTAATATTCGCGTGCAGCACATGCCTTAAGAAGCGTGTATTTTGTATTCCAAAAATTGCGATCTGTCCTTTTTATTGTCTGCTATAAATCTTCAAATATCTTATTTTCTCACGCTTTAATCTTACTTTATATTTTTCAAATTAAAAATAAGAAAGTCTTTAAGAGCCATGCAGGATATTGTTGCGGAAAAATTCTTTTATTGTATAAACAATTAAACTTTCAATCCATAGTTAGGATCTTCTTTAGTATAATAATTCATATCAAATATGTAGATTAAGTAAACTTTTTATACAATTATAACGATACAAGTAAGACATTGAATAATGTAAAATTACAAGTTTAAGTTGTTTGTGTGGTCGTCGAAAAAGAAACGTGAATAAAAGTTTTTGAAGGAATATTGATCTTAATCAATTATATCGTATCCAGAGATTAATCCAAAATGTGTCCATTAAATTTTCAAATTTCATGGAAGTTATAAATAGACTAATTTTGCAATGTTGTTTGTATGTCATATTTATCATAGATAAAAAATAAAAAATGATCTATGACAAGCATACTATTATATAATAACATCGCAAAAAATCTTTTCACAATTTTGAACAATCTCTGGATGCGATGTCACGTTTAATTAAGCTCGATATTCTTTCAAAAACTTTTATTCACGTTTTCTTTCACGACAACTAAACATTGTAATTTGTATATTATTCAGTGTCTTACCTGTATATCATTATAATTATGTAAAAACTTCATCTATTTGATGTGAATTAGAAGAGAGAGAGAGAGAGAGAGAGAATCCTAACCGCGGATCAAAACATTTAATTGTTTATATACAATAATAAAAAAATTTTTTCCGCAACAATATATCCTGTGTTGGCTCTTAGAGGCTTTCCTAATTTTAATTTGTATTTTGAGTCTATATAATTGTTAAATAATTATATTTTTTTAAGCAAGAAATCGAAATCTTTATTGATTAATTTAGTTTGTGCATAAAATTCGCGATGTTATATTTCATTCATACGATACGTCTATAGGTATTTGCGTACATATTTCCAACATACGAGAAGCAAAATGTCGTCCTCTGTCATCTACAATCGATCCGAAGCCGATCAGTGTCGCGTTACCAGGCGATTTCAGTTCTAAGTTGATGCCGACGTCGCGTCACCGTTGATGAGTCTAAAAAAAAAAAAATCATTTCGTCGAAGGGATCGGTCGCGGCGCGTCCTGCTCCTCGGAATCTGCAAGCTCACGCCTGTGAAAATATTTTTTTGTACGCGTAACACGAATACCATCCCGAACCGGTCGCGGTGCTCCCTTTTGGGTGCGTTCTACAAGGCTTTTCGCTCGCGGGCAAACATCGCACCGTGGTTTGCCTGGTAATTGCTGGAAACACCTTGCGAGTGTTTACAGTGTCATCGAGGCGCGGTCGCACCTCGGCGACGTGCAGGTCCTATGAAAGCTCGTGTTCTGTCATAAAAGAAGCGATGCACGGTTTGTAGTGTGACCGCTGAGAAATTTTAAATACGAAAGACTGCTCGTCTCCTCTCTTTTTTTTCTATTTACGAGAAACATTTAGGATAAAGCGAGGCTATTTTATCGATTTTCTTAAAGTAATGTGAAAATTTGTGGCAGCAAATAATATCTCTTTGCAGTGAGATGTGAGTCTTACAATTACATTACATCATGATTACTTCTTGAAAACACAAGCATAACTTCAAATGTTCAACATGTACTGTTTTATAACATAAATATTATCAAGACAAATGAACGAAAGTCTCGTTCTATCTATTTATATTAATGTAGTTAACTTTAATCTGAATTTAATTACCTTTTCGTCTTTTTCCAGTTCTAAAAATTAGTGATTGAAATTAATCTACATTGATAGAAATAGACATTAGGAATCCTATTATATTTAATTTATTAGAAATTAGAATATGAATCAAATTGGATATTTTTTTATGTACATTTGAAACAACAAGACGTCTTGAAGATATCTTTATTCTAAAAATACGTTGGAAAATTATTTTTTAGAAGTTATTTTTTTAGATCTTATAATATTTTCTAAGTTATATGTAATTTGTTTTATAATTATCATATTGAATTGTCTTTTTACACAATAAAATTCCATTTTTCTCTTTCACTTTGACAGATGTGTATATCACACACAATAAATTCTACATATTGTCTGACTCGTTACTCTATACTATACGATGTGCGATTATCAAGCGGGTATTATCGGTTCCGTAATTACGTATTTAACACATAGCAAAAATGGAAAGAGAAATGATGCTCGTGCACAATGCCAGGTGATTAATATCGTAACCTTGAGATGCGGATGCAGCTTTAATATGCGCTCATTGTACATGTATAATTGTGCGATTTAATGGGAGAACATTATTTATTCTTATTATGTGTTCCCAATGACAAGAATATCGTATCGACATTGCACAATGCATGAACAGCTATGGAACGGATTTAGTGAATAGACTAGATTAGACTAGAGATCGCATATTAAACCAAGTAGATTTCAATTTGCTCATAATTAAGCCTAGTAACTCCATCTGTAATCTCTTTAAAAAGTTTGAAACTCGAAACTTTTGGTAAAAAGAAAACTGAGAGAATAAATATCCATGATTTTTTATTTGTCAAACTTGACATTAAAAAATAATAGATAAGAGAAATAAAATTTAAAAATTTTTTATTCTCTTGTGTAGTTTTCGCATAATTTTCCACAATTTCGCATTTCTTTATTTTTTTTAAAATTATATCTACGTAGATACTATGTAGATATATTTACATAGAATTATTATAACTTATAATCAATAATTAATTGATATAGTGGAAACGATTTAGGATATTGAAATGATATATAAAAATATATACAACGATTTAATTTACTTCTGCCTCGGCTTCGAGTTCATTGTTGGAATCTTCATCTACTTGCATGTGTTCCTGTTCTTCTGCCTCTTCTTGCTTCTTCCTCTGTTTGAGGCCAGCGGCTGGTGAACGGATGAGAGACAAGTCACGCTGCACCTCCTTGATATCTCTCTCCTGTTCGAGTTCTTTTCCCTTACGTAATCGCTGCATAATGTGTAGATTCTGTCGCCTCTGCCTGATAATTTCTACCTTTTTCATTGCTTCTATAGTCTTGCTCCATAATTCTCTGTTATATTTGATGGGTACATTTCTCCTCTTTTCAAACTCGAACGACGGATCCACTGCCAAATCTTTGCCAACTGTCTTTCTGAAGGCTTTGGTCCATTTGACTTTTCTGGGATTCTTCTTCTTTTTGAATGCAGCGTGACATTTCGAGCGACAGAACTTGAATATCTGTAATATCATTTACAAAGTGCAACAATATTATTTTGAAACAGAAACAATCAAGAATTATCAAAAGTTTAACTGTGATTGTTAAGAACCGAAAGAGATAATTTTTTCGAAGAGATTTAATTCTCACATTTCGAAATGGCCATGATGAAAATTCAAGTAATATGTCAATTGATCTATGGACAAAAGATCTATAATCTATATCTTTATTACAATGTTAATACAATGTTAGTACAAAATATATAACCTCACTTTGACATACAACATACACTTTGTTACTCTACAAGTTTATCATGTTATTTAATGTTAGATTAAATATGCAGCTCTCACCTTACAATCATTCCTTACAAACTGAATTCCATGTCCCGGAAATATCCGAGATGAACAAAAATAACACGTCTCTATACGCATATTGCGATAAGTTGTGCATACAGAATAGTTGTGAGAATTTGAGAAAAACACGTGGGCCTGTCGGTGAGTACGTAAGTTTACTACTTCCTGTGTTTCCTAATAGACGAATAGATGGCACTACAGGAAAGTTTATTACATCGGTGTTCCTGAATGGACAAACAGATGACACTACAATTAAAGTTATTTTAGAGTCCCTATAAAAAAGTCAATCTTGTCAAAATTTTCATTGGCTTTGAAGTAAAATGGCGGAACCAATCATCATTATATCCCCACTTTGAATATCGTGAACGTGGCGGTGATTTAGATTTTAGAAATTGTGAGAGTAGAATTTACGTTAAATTATATAATATTGATAAGTAGAATTTACGTTAAATTATATAATATTGATAAGTAGAATTTACGTTAAATTATATAATATTGATAAGTAGAATTTATATTAAATTACAAAATATTGACAGAAGTAGATCTGTTTTCTATAGTTGAATTAGTTTTATACTTTTGAAATTGAAATAGTGATAATACGAAACATAAAAGTGATAATACGAAATAATGAAATAACACTTTCATTTAACATATATAATACTTTTATTTTACAATAAAATGTCTTGCCATCGTCAAATTGCTATATATATATACTGGTAATTCAAAAAAGCCCTTTCTGACAATATGTTTTAATCATGTTTTAGTGATGTTTTCTGCGAAGAAGATTTGTAATTCGAAATCTTTACAATAATAAAGTATAAACTTATCTATTTATAATTTTGATATAACTAAAATAATTTCATCTCTCTCACTTTATTAATCAAAGCTTTCATGATTCTACGTAATAGAAAGGGCTAGAGTCCTCTAATAGAGTTCTTGTTAGACTCGATTTTACTTCATATTGATGCGATTCTCTTATAGGGACTCTAAAGGGTCCTCTATATAAAAATCGTAGACGGTCGTGGAGTCTTAAATCGTAGAAAACTAAATCAATTCTAATCAAATATTCTCCTTATATTTGATTGTGATTGATTGGTTTCCTATAACTTAAGACTCCACGACCATCTACTTTTATGTAGAGAACCCTTAAGTTATTTTAAAGTCACTAGATTTATAATACCGCAAACTCGCATCCATTTTGACGCGAAACGCGGCAATTTCGAATTTATGCATTTATATATACATACATTTATATATACATACTGTACTACTGGCTTTATTTGGAAAAATAAAGCCAGTAAAGTATGTAGATCAATGTTTTTTAATTATAATTAGTTTATTCATAAACAAAAAATATATATCAATGCTTAATTTTATTTAGCAATAAGAATAAGCAATTACAGATTTCAACAAGAACTGTGTATTCTGGTCTACATAGACCGGTATTTATAAGTTGAAATCCACAATCCGTTCTTAGTCTCAAGACAATCTCAAGCAATGTCAAAATACTAATACGACTCTCTCATTGATCTATGATATCTCAAGCACTAGTTTAAGACCATCTCAAATCTTGAGCAACGTTTATGGATTCCACTCACAGGCTGATATTCATAGTCGATTCTTATTTCAAGATCATCTTAAGTAATGTCTTAAAACGCTAATGCGGCCAGTATTCATAATCAGTCAATGTATCCTAAGCCAACTACAATAACTTCTTGATAAAACTTAGAACTTTTTCGCGCATACAAATGATATATTATCAATGTAAAAATTCAAAGAAACGTTAATTTGATAAAAAATTACTTTATGTATACACTGAGAAAAAAATTTATTACAATAAATTTTAAATATTTCTTTGCGTAATCCTAGCGAAATATTTACTTACGGTAAATAAATATTTAGATAAATGAAAAAAAAGATAGTTAATTCAAACTGATGGTTTTTGTATTTAATAAATATGTGTTTACATTTTAGTAAATATTCCGCTCTAGAACTATTCAAAAAAATATTTATCAAAATTTAATAAATTTTTCTCTCAATGTAGAACTCTGATTCCACTTATTTGGAACGTAATAAAAATAATATACTCTTATTTATAATAAATATATTTTATTTTTTCTCTTCTTTTTCTTAATATTTGTTTTATGACAAAATAAACTGTAATTTGTATTATAAAGTTACACGATCATTGTCAGAGAAAAGATGCAACTCGCGACAACAGGCAGCATGTTGCTCCTCATAACATCGCTCATTAGAACATGATCAGTTTAAATGGATAATTTGCGATTTAGAAAAACAACACAATTAACTGCGCCTAACAATATAATCTAAATTGTGACTGTTTCGCAAAGCATTTTTTGGCACCTGATTTAATCAATATAATAGACAATTAAAAATAGAAATCTTAAATAGAAATGCGATATTTGAACGTATCAATGCGATGACGGGCCGATTGCAACGGGTACATTTTATTTAACGTAACAATTATGTATTTCCGACGTTGCGCTGCATCGCTGGTCGTTGTCACGATGCTTCGGACCGCTTATAGAGTGAGACTTATAGACTAGTATCGATTACGAACAGAGCTACTAATTTAATATCGGGATCGAACGTGTAGTCGCTGCAGTTCCGTGTTGTCTTGCACATTGTCTCAGTATTATTGTGCCGCGACCGTCGGCTGGACGTGTATTCCTGTAAATTTTAAGAAGAGACATGTGGGGCCACATATCGATCTCGATCGCAATCCTGCTGGTGTCGTTGCTCTATCATTATCACTTCAGTGAGCCGTCCAGCGTTATTATTTATCCCGAAACACATTACGATTACATTGTCGGTGAGTTAACTTCTCGGTTTATGTTTATTATATCATCCGGCACCTTCGTTTGACAATTCCGGCACTCTTCTTCCTCCACTCCGTTTTTCGAAATATACACTGCATCGATTTTTAGTCAAAAAGAATTAGTATAAATCGCATTGTGCTTAATAGGTGCCTTCTAAATACTTCAGACAAAATAGACAGAAAATACAATACGATATCACACTCTTTTTCTTAGCAAAATTTGAGACATAAAGTTGCCAATTGAGATATAAAGTTACTAATTGTATATTACCCTTTGAATCCTGCTTGTTTTATATTTCTGATTTAAATGTTCATATCTAAAATTTAATTTAATAAACGGCTGATGTTTTGTATTACCGCTAACATTAATTTTTTGCGTCACAATGAAAAAAAATCGCTCGAATTTTACATTTAATCTAATTAATATAATAAAAATGGTGCTTCTTGTTGTTGCGGGGTTTAAGTTGGCGCTGGTACGTCTGGCTGCGTGATTGCATCACGGCTCTCAGAAATGTCGAACGTAACCGTTTTGCTCGTGGAAGCCGGCGGATACTTTGGATGGCTATCGACTATGCCGCTCTTAGCGCCGATGATGCAAGGCACTGAAGTCGATTGGGCCTACCAAACGGAGCCGCAAGTCTTCTCGTCCCGAGGGCTCTACGGCTATGTAATTAAAGCTCAATCCTTCGATGAAGGAATTTCCGTTTCGCGAGAATGATTTCTGTAGAAATTTGCTACTACATATACGCTATATCTTTCATAAAATGAAAATGTGCACTGAGAGAAATGATTTTGTTATAGGAACAAATCAAGGGAAAGCAAATGTGACATTTGTTAAAAAACCGATCGATTTGTTATGATTAATTCGTAAATTAATTCGTCAATGTAACAAATAATCAATAATATCGCTAGCAAATAAGAGGCTCATATACACACACATATACATATATAAATCATAGACGATTGCAGGATTTCAAATCATAAGAAATTGATCAATTCTAATCAAGTATTCTCCCTAAATTTAACTGTGTTTGATCGGTTTTCTATGGCTTAAGACTTCACGATCATCTACGAATTCTATGTAAACGAGCCTAAAGTCTATCCAAAAGATAGATTAGATTCTATATATTTTCTATCTATTTGCTTCTGTTAGTTATAATTCTATTACTAATAATTGGTTGGTATAACAGACTAGCAGCAAACACAACAAACTTTATTATCACATATTTATTGATTAAAGGTGCTAATGGCTTGCTAAATTAACAAAATCCTTTCTCTCTGTGTGGCACATTTCATGAGTTGAATAGAAATATCGATAATAATATTAATCTTTAAATGCCTTACTACAGGAACAAAATATTGATGTTTTATGGTATACCCAACTCAATTCGATTGCTTCAATTGCTTATAACTTTCATAAAAATAAACAGAATATTTTTTTTCAATTGAATTAAGGAATATAACAATACTAAGCAAATATATATCTTTATTAATAGAAAAAGTTATAAGTAATGAAAAAATATTAAAACACATTGGAAAAAGTCGGATATATCAGAAAGACGTTTAAGCGTTAATCTAAAAGATTTTATGCCACATTTCATGAAACATCTTTATTCGTATGCAAAATGAATATTCCAAAAATTCGCACTTCCGTTTGGAATCGCGTATTTTTAGCGTAGCAAATTCCTTCATTGATCATGTTTAGAGACAAAACTTTCCAAGGGGAAAAGGACTTGGAGGGAGCGGGCAGCTTAATTATCTCGTTCACTCCTTCGGGAGGCCTGAGGACTATAAGAGATGGCCGAAGGGTTGGTCGCACGCTGACCTGCTCCCCTACTTTCAAAAAGTGTCCGATATTATGAACATCATCCCGATGCCGGAGGAAGAATACCTAACGAAGGCTTTCGTCCTGGCCGAGGAATCGTTAAAGCTGGATAACATATCCTTGCGGAAAGCGATGTACACTGCAAAAAAAGGATCGAGATGGAGTACTTATCACGCTTATTTGCGAAAGGCTTGGAATCGCAAGAATTTACATATCATGATGAACACACTCGTTGCCAAGGTCTCCATAATTTTTATTTTATATATCATGCTGGAGAAAACAATTTTCCACGATAAATTTTTTTTTTTTTTTTTTTTTCTCGAAAATATACCCCATTCTCCTTTTTATAACAGAAGATTAAAAATTATGATTGAAAATAATTATTTGTATAACAGTTTTTTTATTTAATTATTTTATTTCTATAAATATATATTTTTGATGTGTGTGTTTTGGTTCGAACGTTATAGATACTTTTCAAGAATAACAAAGTC